GAACTCACGGACCGCGAGATCGTGACCTGGCTGAAGTCGGATGCTTAACCGACTGCGCCACCCAGGCGCCCCTCCATCCCCTCACTTTCAATCTGAAGGTGTCCTCAGGTCTAAAATGAGTCTCTTGTAAACTGCATATAGATGGATCATGTTTTTTTTTACCCATTCTGATACTGAATGTCTTTGGATTGGAGCATTTAGTCCATTTACATTCAGAGTTATTATTGAAAGATATGGATTTAGTGTCATTGTGTTATCTCTAGGTTTCATGCTTGTGGTGATGTCTCTGGTCCTTTGTAGTCCTTGCAGCATTCTACTCACAGAGTCCCCCTTAGGATCTCTTGTAGGGCTGGTTTAGTGCCCATGAATGCCTTCAGTTTTCATTTGTCTGGGAAAACTTATATCTTTTACTATTCTGAATGACACCCTTGCTGGTTAAAGGAATCTTGGTTGTACATCTTTTGTATTCAGCACATTGATTATTTCTTGCCACTCCCTTCTGGCCTACCAAGTTTCAGTAGATAGGTCTGCTACTACCCTTATGCATCTGTCCTTGCAGGTTAAGGCTTGTTTGTCCCTAGCTGCTTTCAGAATTCTCTCTTAATCTTTGTATTTTGTCAGTTTCACTATGCTATGCCATGGTGAAGACCTATTCTTACTGAATATGAAGGCAGTTCTCTGTGCCTCCTGGATTTGGATGTCTGCTTCCTTCTCCAGATTAGGAATGTTCTCAGCTATAATTTATTCAAGGAAACCTTCTGCTCTTTTCTCTCTCTCTTATTCTTCTGGAACTCCTATGATACAGATATTATTACATTTAACTGAATCACTTAGTTCTCTAATTCTCCCCTTGTGGTCCAGTATTTTCTTATCTCTCTTTCTCAGCTTCATCATTTTCCATAATTTTATCTTCTATTTCACCTATTCTCCTCTCTGCTTCCTCTATGCTTGCTGTAACTGAATCTAGTTTATTTTGCACCTCACTTACAACATTTCTTCATTCATCATGACTTACTTATTTGTTCCTTGATAGGAACAATTAAACATTGTAGTCTTATATTTCAAAATTTACTATATTCACTCACATATTTTCTGTAAACTTAAAAATATTTTGCCCAGTTCTAACAAAATGCCATGGAATTTTTTATTTTGGCAGCATTAAAACTATATATTTATTGGGGCACCTGTGGTTCAGTCACTTAAGTGTCTGACTCAATCTAGGCTTAGGTCATGATCTCACCATTAATGAGACTGATCTCTACATCCGGCTCTGCATTGACAGTGAGGAGCCTGCTTGGGATTATCTCCCTCATTCGCTCTCTACCCCTCCCCTGCTCACTTGCATGTGCTTGCAGCTTGCTCTTTTTCTCTCTCTCTGTCTCAAAATAAATAAATTAAAAAAAAAAAACTAAAAATTTATTTAGGTAGAACAGATTATCAGAAATATTGAATTCATATTTCCCAAATTGTATACTTTTCTTTAAATTATTTTATAATTCTTTTCCTCTACTATGCACACACAAATGCATGTATATGATTTTTCTAATTTCTTTATCTCACTAAAAAAAAGGCAGTCAATTTCCTTAGGAAATTATTCAAAAATTTTCAACAATTATATCGGTTATTTTTACACCATTTTTCTTTAGGGAGCTTGTTGTGAAAAATATATTATTGTATTAATTGTTTTTTTCTTTTTGAGCTTTTACTTTTGTTTCAAAATCTAAAAAAATTTTAAAAACTCAACATTTTTGGTTCATTTTATTTTAAACAATAAAATATCATTAAATATAGATTTTCAGATGGCTTAACTTTACAAAAATTATACAGTTATATGAATAAATTGATTTTATCCTTTTCTTGATAAGGTTATAAATATTAATTGCCTTATGATATCATATAACGTATATATGCCTGTGTATTTGATGAATCACAACACAAATGACTTTCATATGTAGGGCCCAGATTCCTATATTAATTGCAGTTATTTTTGTAGACCAAAATATCTAATGTTGTTATTTATGTTTTAGGTTAGTGGGATGGTTTGGCCATGAACTCAGCACCAGATTTAAGATGGATAACAGTAAGTGTATTCAGTTTCACTTCACAAGTCATTTTATTTTACCTTTATTTCAATTTTCATCTGTCTTTGTATGGCATGTAATATACATGCCTCATGGAGAGTGCACTTTGAAAATGCCACTGAGAATTCTTAAAATAAGAAATGACATTTCCAGAGTGTAAGACTAAGTGTTTGTAGATTTTAGCATCATTTTGAGTCTATCCCTCTGTAGGGAAGTAAGTGGAAATGAGCTGTAATGTATAGGATTCATATCTCATCAATATTGAGTACCCAGAACATCAGGAAGTGAGGGCAGGAAAGAATTTTTGGCTTGTAGTCAGGCCCAGAGAGACTTGGATGTCAATTCTACTTTGCTGCTTAATAATTTTGTGATGCTGCACAAATTATAACTTCTTGGGATTTTTTTGTTTTTTGTTTTATTTTCCTTCTTGCATATCTAATGTGAATAATAATATCCAATTCAGGGTTTGGTTTGAGGGTAAGACAAGTTCAAAGCTGTAAACCAAGCAGCACATAGCAGTGCTATTTAATAAATGTTCACTTTATGTCTCTCTTTTTCCAATTTTTCTTCCTTCTGTGGCTTTTGCCACACACGAAACAATGGCAGTTGAACCCCAGCAGGTAGAAATGAAATTTCAACACGTTCAGGGTTCTCCCAAACTGCCCTGCTTCTTTTTCCTGAGTGACTCCCATCTTCAATCATGTGGGATACAGAAAGCTTCATAAGTGTTTTGAGAGTCTTCAGTTCAACTTGATCCTTCAGACTACTACTAACCTGAGTTACTATTTTAAATATATTCATATTTGCAAAAACCAAGATGCAAAAGATCAAGACGGGCTCTTCCAGTCAAATCAAGAAACGTGCATTTTATCTTGGCTGCTGGAATAGTTAGCTCTGTTATGCCTGTTGCCTACACTCTTTGTGTTGGCTTTTCTTATCTGTAAATGGGAGAATTGGACTAGATCGAGAGTGGGGAAAGTTTCTCTGTGAAGGGCCAGAGAGGAGACATTTTAAGTTTTGGGGGCTATACTGTCTCTGTGGCAAATGTTCAGTTCTGCCATTGTAGTGCTAAAGCAGTCATAGACATACATAAATGAATGAATGTGACTACATGTTCCAATGAAACTTTATTTACAAAAACAAGTCAAGGGCCACATTTGGTCCTCAGTACATAGCTTGTTGAGCCCTGGATTAGATGCATCTCTAAAGACCTAGAATATTCTAATGCTCTTTTAGTCAGTTTTAGCTTTAATTTGATCTCCAACGAGCAGTCTTAACGCTATTGGACTTAACTTGCTACTATTCAATCTAATTGATTCTAATTAGGATAATACCTGCTATTAAATTACCTTTTAAATGTATCATACTTAGGCAGATCATTTTTTTAAAAGCCTTTTTATTATTATTATTTTTTCCCTAGGAGAAGCCACTTGACCTAATAATACTAGTGCTAGAAGTCACCTTCATAGGTCATTTAATTTATATTCCTGCCTTTGGATGACATTACAATTACAAACTATTAAAATTTTGATTTTTTTTCTCTCACTGATATGGTTTCATAGTAGAAAAGCAAAGCATGGGGTAGGTTAAGGAATGCTGGCTTGGGAGTGTGGAAGGACAGAGAATGAGGTACAGAAAATCTTCTTTAAGAGGTCATTTTTATATCTCTAAGGGCTCTAGTATTTGGTAGGCTGCTAAGAAAGTGGGGCAGGGGAGAGAGACATTGCAAGTGAAGGGGAAATATGCCAGTATTCTAGGTCCACAGAGTTTCTCTTAAATATCTCAGAAATCTTAGAAATAAAAGTTTTTAAATCTTGTTCTTCTCTCTACTATAGTGTCATAAAAAATCCATGAAGGACACTTTTCAAGGTACATTCTATAAAAATGACATGATGTTAATTTTTCAGAACTGCAATTAATCCCTGGGGTTAGTGGATTTCGAATTTCAAATCCTCCCATTTTGTTGGTCTGTTCCTTACATGCTAGTTTAGAGGTAAGTGAACTATGCTTTACCCTTCTCATATCTTTACCTTTTTCTTTACCTGACTGTGACATGTTGTAGGACCTTCTTTGCTAAAGAGCAAGATTAATGTTCATTATGTATAAACAATGGTCAAAAGCTGGTATTCTCCTTTAGGACAATGACTCTGTGCTAACTGACATCTCTTATCTATGTGTCCAGCCCCAGCACTGTGCTTGGTACATAATAAATGTTGTTGGCACTTAATAAATGTTAATTGGAACTGATTTGGGGATACATATTTTTAGTTCCTCTTAGAATTTGTGTGACCTTAAAGAATTTGCTTAATCTTCTCTTGGTGTCTCTGTGACAAAATAAGCATGCAATATTTAGTTCTTGATTATTTCACTCACTCAACATTTACTTATTAGGAAAGTATTATGTGCCAGATATTGTTGTGATTACTGGAGACTCTGTTTCTTCTGGTTCTGTGAGTCAACGAACTCACCAAGTGCCACATGATAGAACTATAGGAAGACATACTTTAAGGAAAAAAATACAAATAATCCGAGTAAACCAAAGAATGAGAAAGGTTGTCTCATAAGTTAAATGGATTTCTTTTTTTTTACTGGAGTGTCTATTCCATCATATTCTTGTATAATCTCTCTACTGTTAGTAGCTCAATATATATTTTTTAGTAAATGAATGTTTTTAGTTAAAATAACATTAGTTTCACCCTAAATAATAATATCCAAAGAATCAATTTGGTTTCAAATATTTATATCTACCTTTCCATCTATTTATATAGATATATAGATACCTACCTTGTCCTTTTATATCTATATTATATTCATATCCATATCAATATAGCTTAATTATTTGATATTAATTAATTTCAGAATGAGACTAACTTGGGACACCTGGGTGGTTCAGTTGATTAAGCATCTGACTTCGGCTCATCTGATCTCACAGCTGGTTCTTTTGAACCCCGTGTAGGCCTCTGGCTGACAGCTCAGTGCCTGGAGCCTGCTACGGATTCTGTGTCTCCCTCTCTCTGCCTCTCCCCTGCTTATGCTCTGTCTGTGTCTCTCTCTCTAAAAAATAAATAAAACATTTTAAAAAATTAAATAAAAAGAATGAGACTAAATTTACTTAAGGAAATATATATTGTAAATAATTATATCCTATATAATTAATAATAACATCAATACACATATTAAGTAAATATACTTATACACATACACTAAAGTAAAATATATTTTAGCTAAATGTGTTTTTTTCTAACAGAGATTTTAAATATATAGGTATTCAAAAAAGAATTTGACTTATTAAATTTAAAGTCTTTTAAAATCATCTGGTTTTTGATATTTTATGAAATTCTATTGTGGAGTGTTCCAGGATGAATGACTAGATAAAGACTTCCAAAATCTCTAAACCTAAATTTTAGGATTCTGCGAACACATATAGCAGTTTCTCACTTTGGCCACTGGATGGCAATGTAAAGTACTTTTTTTTTAATAGAACTTCACCACTGATAGTGGTAATCAACTCATTTCACTTCATCTCAATTTAAAGACCATCTACTCAATGTGGCCACTAGATGGAGCTTGTGTTGTTTTCACTTTTTGGCAGATTTTTTTTTTTTTTTTAAACTGAAAATAGACCCAGTAACAAGATTTTTCAGCCAGTGGGAAAAAAAGTTTTTAAAAATTTTTGGGGGGTGAGGAGGGATAGAATCTGCTTAGCAAGTCAGATAATGGTATTTGAATTATTTTTATAATATCTATTCAGAGAAAACTTCTGTTAAACGTTTTAAAATGATACACAGTTTTTCTCACTTTGCAAGTTTGTCTCAGGGAGAAGGTGAGTTACCATAGGAAAAGCACCGAGGTGTACCTTAGGAAGAACTGGTACTTGACGTTTTGTCCTCTGATTTTCCTTACCTTTGCAAATGAGTTCTCAGCCAGATCTGGAAATTTTCTTTTAGACACTCTAACTTTGGTATGTTTTCGCAGTGGGTGGTGTCAAGTACTTACCCCTTCTGCCATGAAAAAGAAGTCACATTCTCAATTTTCCTGCCACTAGTCCCCTAGGCTAGGCTTGAATGATAAAAAGCTTGGAAGTATTTATCACCGTATTACGCTGTATTGTAGCCACCTAGACAAGGTTTTTATTTTCAGCTGGAATCTGAAGATTGATTGAGTTTTTTTTTTCTTTAACATCTAAACAAATAACAAAAGGATCCCAAAGGCCACAAGAGTGGATATGTACTTCTCTTACCGCTTAAGTATTTTTCTGGAGCCTCTTAGAAATATCTTAAGTAAATGGTGCTTGGTGGCTCAGTTGGTTAAAGCGTCTGACTCTTGATTTCAGCTCAGGTCATGATCTCAGGTTGGTGGGATGGAGCCCAGTGCCAGGCTCTGCACTGTCAGCCTGGAGCCTGCTTGGGATTTTTTCTCTCCCTCTCTCTCTGCCCCTCCCCTGCTCATGCTCTCTCTGTTGCTCAAAATAAATAAATAAAAACTAAAAAAGAAAAAAGAAAGAAATACTGTACTTAAGCTATTCACTGCTAAGCCTACATTCTAACCAAAATTATCATTAGGTAAGCAAAAGTTGTGTTGAAGAAAGTGTTGAAATTCTTCCTCCCCATCATAAATTGCAAAATTCTGAAATTACAAAACAATGCATGTCATTCTTCTTATTCTTTACCTAACTGTTAAAATGTTCTACTCCCTCGATGCCAAGTGGGTAAGCATCGGTGTAGCAATCATATTGCTACTGTGCTTAAGTTATTGCATTGAAAGAGATAGGTGATTGAAAAAGTTTGAATCAATGAGAGAAATATGCATGAATCACAGTGCCTGTCTTTGTTGTAGCTACTTCTCTTTCAAAAAATATTCTGCATAGTCAAATACCAATTAGAGGAGAGATTCTAAACTTAAGAATCAGTGTACATGGATGGATACGATCTCAGTTTTGCAACACAGTGATTTTTTACAAGTATTAATATGGTTTTGTTTATAATGACATGTGCCTCCAGTTGATTGATAACATGAAAAATAGCACCTTGTAATCAATTTCAAACTGTCCTTTGTTTATATTAGTGGCTCTTAATCATTTGTATTATATATTTATATGGTACAAATGCATATGGTAAAATATGGTACAAATTTTACATATAAAAATATGTGGATCAATAGAAACTAAGGTAGGAACCAGGAGGCATACACTCTATCCCTCACTGAGGCACCAAGTATGACCTTAGACAGGTGACAACTTTCTCTTTACTATATATATACTCTTGAGTTCATTTGTCTCATTTTTAAGATGAAGATGTTTAGACCAGAGTATTTCAGAAGTCTCCTCAATCTTTTCAATTGCTAGCTTGAAATTAAAAATACATCTATTTTATTTTGTAGGGTCATACTTGCATGCAATGATAAGTAGACAATTTTTAGAACATTTCAGTATATGAATTTATAATGAAGTAAATAGCTCCAAAATACAAAATTAGAGTGTTCAATTAAAATACACATCAAGTAGGGCGCGTGGGTGGCTCAATCACTTAAGCGTTCAACTTTGGCTCAGGTCATGATCTCACATTTCATGAGTTTGAGCCCCACGTTGGGCTCTGTGCTGATACCTCAGAGCCTGGAGCCTGTTTCAGATTCTGTGTCTCCCTATCTCTCCGCCCCTCCCTCCCTCATGTGCGTACAGGTTCTCTCTCTCTCTCCCTCTCTCTCTCCCTCTCAAAAAATGAATAAACATTAAAAAAATTTTAAATACAAATCAAATAAGGAGAAATGTACTATGTGTTTCCTCAGAAAGTTATTAGGCAGCCAATTTTAAGAACTGAAGAGAAAAAAATGCAACAATTGAAAATGTCATGCTATACTTCTTTTTCCGGTTTAAACTTATCTAACTTATCTAGCTTTGTAATCTTTTTGCTCAGTAAGAAAAATAACCCGAGTAGTTGAAACTCTGCCAAGAATTGTTATAAGCTGAATATTTTTAACCTACAGTTTTCATTTTTTTATTTAAAAAAATCGTCCTTTCTCAATACTGAAAGCATAGAAATAATGAGAAGCTAAAAAGAAAAGAAGATATTTATTCTATTCTCCAGTTAACTCCTATTATCCCCTCTTAATATTTTTATGTGATGCCTCAAAAGAGACCTTTACACCCTCTGACAGGATTTTAAGAGTGCCTAACCATGCAGCTGCCCTTACTGTGGTTTAATGATGGAAAATGGTTTCATATTTTAAAGTTATTTCATTATCAAAGAGTAACAGTATGTCAAAATTGAAACCGTCATAAAAAAATTTAACTTTAGTTTCTAGTTATCAGAGAAATCTGCAAGAACAAAATCTCCTTAAAAAAAAACAATAAAGTTAAATAATATTCCCCCAAGTCTTACTAACCTATAAACACAAATGAAATATCATTAAAGGTAGTACTTCGCACATTGCTCTTACCTGTCTCTTATGGGGCTTATAGTAGAACCAGAAAGTTTTTCAGAATTATTTATAAATGAAATTTACCTTGAATTACTATTAATGTCCAAAGAGAAGATTGGAAAAATTCCTCTCCTATTCTTTTATTCCTATCCTGGCAACCAAACCACATGTGGGTGGTGCCTTGCCTGTCCCTGCTCCTGCCCTTTACGAGATTTGTTTCTAGACCCAGGCCCTCTTGATCCAAACAGGCTTCTGTCTTCTGAAGAATGTCTTCTGAAACAGACACCACACCCTACTTGTAGCAAACTCTCTTCCATAGTCTGCAACATCTGGCTGCAGAGAGACAGATACCATTCTATCCTGTTTCTCTTCTTTTCCTTGGGTACTGTTACCATCAATACAACTCCCTTGGTCTCCTTCAGCCAAATCCATACCTTTCATGCAATATAGGTCATTTGCCCAAATGGTTTGAGTTCTGTTAGAATGCCTGCTCACACATGCCACATGTATATACCAAAATAACTATTTTCACAAGCTTCATAAAGTCTAGATGTCACTGAGTGACCCTATCTTAGCTCTGTGGCATAACATGATACAGAAAAGGGATATTAAGTGACATGCCAGTGCATCACGCTCTGTTTGCAGTTCATTCAGTTCTTATATGTAGGATATATTTTTAAACTCTACTTGACCTTAAGAGATAAGCTAGAAAAGCCTGTCTGTTCTGACCTCTAATGTTCCAATACCAGTTATTGTGTGCACTTGTCACTCATCTTAATATAAGAAACTTCAGGCAGCAAATGGCAGTATTTTCACACCAGTGCTAGAGTTTAGCAGGGGAAAAAATGATGAAAGAAGGAAAGATAAAAAGGAAGAGAGAGGGAGGAAAAGAGAGACAGAAAGACACACAGAGAGAGAAGCAAACCTAACTGCCTCAGTACTAACATATGTATTATCTAACAGAAAAAAAATGGTTTCATCATAATCAATTGGGACATGTTTTCACTAGTTTTTAGTGGTGAAAGCCCAAATATATATGTTCATTGAATAACTATGGTTTCATGGTTTGTTTCCCTGACTGACAAAACTGAACTTTATTATTTAACTGTTTGTTTGCTTACTGTTATGCTGGGGAGATTTAGGAATGAGTAAAAACAATTATAAATAATGTTGATAACACTTCCTTCCATATATACACGGGTGTTTAACTCTTATTATACTTTGGTGTGGACCAAAATACTTTGTATCAGAATCAAAAAAAAAGTCTTCTTGATTATGATTGTGTAAAATGGCTTTGGGAAAAGGTTTGACTTTCATGATCTTTAAATGCATTTATTAAGGTATGTTTTACTTGTACTAATTATACTGAGCTAATGTAAAGTAACTGTATAGGAACACTATAGTACCTTACTTTTCCTTCTTCTTTAGCAAGTATTGTTTAAATGACATTTATACAGTTTTTCTGTCACGGAAACCTTTCCATTTGGCTTTTAACGGCCAAGCATTTAACAGAGGATATGTTTTTACAAAGGATAGTCTAAAACGGGATGTTTTTGGAAAGGTCAAAAGTGCGCATTTCCTTTTTTTTTTTTCAGTTAATTTTTGCTTCTTTGCAGATCAACAAGACACTGTTAATCTGATTGTTTCTCATTCTGTAGATCTTTAAGCAAGCGACTATGAAAGCATTGAGGAGAAAATCTGTTTTGCTAACTGGTTATCTGGAATACATGATCAAGCATTACTGTAACAAAGATAAAGCAGATACCAAGAGACCATTTGTGAACATAATTACTCCATCCTGCATAGAGGATCGTGGCTGCCAGCTAACACTAACCTTTTCTATTCCAATAAAATATGTATTCCAAGAACTAGAAAAACGAGGAGTGGTTGTAAGTATACCTCTTGCTTTGCTACCAGGTTTTCTCTCTGGGTGGCACGTTGGGGTTCTTTGGTTAATTCACTGTTGCATGTTATTTCATGAGTCAGTTTGAGAGGATAGATTATGTGTCAGCTAAGCATGTGTCACTGTGTTAATTGAAGGGCATAGAGATCTGTCATTTCTGATAAAAGGGATAAAAGGGAAGAAACCACAAATTTTGGATGAGGAACCAGCCTTCCATAATTTATTCATTCTTTTTATTACAGTTTGAGCAGGAAAAAAAAAATGGTTTCATCATAATCATTCAGGACATGTTTTCCCTAGTTTTTAGTAGTGAAAGCCCAAATAATATATGTTCGTTGAATAACTACAATTACAGAACATAATATGGTGGAAGAGGAGGAAAAAAATCAGTCTTATTTAGTTGTTTGATTGAGCCAAGTCATTTTCAAACCTGTCATTTTAGTAAGAAGAGAGCTGTAAACACATCTCAGGGATGTTAACATTGTATGAAATAATTTTTTTTTTAAACGCTTGGACCTAAGTGGTCATTCTATTCTCTTGAAGAAAATAAATGTTAATAGGGTGATTTCAGGAAAAATGGTGGTCGTGTATCTATTTCCAGTAACCATGTAATTTAGGAATTGCTCCACTCATGTCCTCTCTCTCTCTCTCTCTTTTTTTTAAAAAAAGAGCATGAGTTGGGGCAGAGGGAGAGAGAGAATCTTAAGCAAGCTCCATGCTCAACATGGAGCCTAGCCTGATGCAGGGTTTGATACCATGACCCTGGGATCATGACTTGAGCTGAAATCAAGAGTCAGACATTCAACTGACTGAGAAACCCAGGTGTCCTGGTCCACAAACTCTTGAGGAGAGGTTATCTCAGATTCCAGAGGCACAAATCCATATGTTAGTGTTCCAAGTCAATTTCTACCATTTGTAAGCTGTGTGCTCCTGGAAAGTTTGCTCACATCTCCTGGCTTGAGTTTTCTCATCTGGATTTTGGGTGCAAATTACTTGTCTCCAAAATTTGTTATGGGAATTAAATAGTCCAGCACAAATAAACAATTTATTGTATTGTCTAACCCATAGTGAGGGTTTCTTAAAGATTAATAATAGTGATCTTCAGGCTAGACCAAATTATCTGGGTCCATTTCATGACATTTCAGGGATACAGCCAATTCTTTACCTGTGAGATTAAGGATTAGAGGATTATGTAAATATAATTGACTAAAACTCTCTAGGTGTCAAAGAGGTTATCATTCATTTCTTTTTTTCATTTTTATTTATGTATTTTTGATTTTAAAGAGAAAGTGAGAGAGAGCACAAGTGGGGGAGGGAGGCAGGGGGGGTGGGAATTGAATGTTAAGCAGGGTCCATGCTCAGCAGGGAGCACAATGAGGGGCTCAATCCCAAAACCCTAGGATCGTGACCTGAGCCAAAATCAAGAGTCAGATGCTCAACTGACTGAGCCGCC